AGCCACTATTGGAAGTGTGATGCTGGGCTGGACAGATTTTTGGACCATCCCAGAACAGCCCTGCTTGTATTCTTGGGAGCTGACAAAGAGGTCAGGGGTGGAAAGAAGGAGCCAGGAATTCTAGAAAACTGCTCTCTCCATTTTTTCTGAAAACCTGCCTGTCAAAATGGATGCCAATTCACAAAGTGAAAAATTTCCTCAGTGTTTCTCCAAGACACTCTGAAAGGGTAACCGCCCTGAAAAGTCAAATCAGTAGCATCTTTGGCCCCTCAGGAAAGAACATGGCAAAAAGATCATTCTGGATCAACTAGAAGTCAAGACTACAACAAGAAACTTTGAGGTCCCCTACCGAGTTCCTGGAAGGAGATTAGACTTAAAAAAACCCATACCATGTGTCGGGTCATGATTTCCACAGCCAGAAGAGGCTCAGTCTATCCCAGGCTATTGCTGTGAGTACCCTCAGGAGCAATTAATTACATGGATTCACCCTATCAATAATGGCATGGATAAGGTTGCTCCTGGATGTAATATCTGCGTGCCGGGCAGCAAGCCATGTGCAGTATCAGGCGAGCTCTACAGAAGAAGGATTTGGCTGCAAACCTGCCAGTGCTGCGAAGTGTGCAGTACTGAAAAACCACGAAGACAAGGAGCGTTTGACATCAGGAGACCTACGCTCTGCGGGAACTCTCCGGCTATCAATGCAGGATCTGTGAGCAGGTTAGTCATTCCAGCTCCCTGTTTTGAAAAGGTAGAAACTGCGTCAGAAAGGGCAATGAAGTTTTCTTAAGGGAATTAGAAAGATTTTTAAAAAATTTGTTTATGGTTTATTGTTCTGTTCCCTACTCTCCTCGACCACGAAGCCATTTCTGGTTCGCCTTTCACTACTGACCAGTTCCCTCCTCCAGTTAACACCCCAACATATGTTTTTCTCTCTTCTTTTGTTTCTTTTAAATCCCAGTGACTAACCTACTGTCTCGTTTCTTCCTCCCAGCTCTCGGCTCTGGGTTTTTTTTGATTGGACCCTTGTTACCAGCTCCGTTGTTTCCCTGTATCCATACACAGAGCACAGCTGCACGCTCTCCCTCTCAGGCGCAGAAGAAATCAGAAAACAAAGTCCCCCCAAGAGAACCAGCCTGTAACAAGCCGAAGCAACTTTTGCAAAATGACTGCCTCCATGAGCAGGCAGCTGAGCTCTCCGAGACAAATTTGGGGCTCAGAGTGCACAGACATAATAATTACCAGAAATACATCACAACCCCCTCTCCCGGCATGAGTTAGGCCATTCCTAAATCATAAGGTGCAGTCTCTCTCTCGCTCCTGACTCTCTGGGTACGAAAACTTTTGCTTTCTGTCATTCTCAGTACACTGCAATCTTTCTCCCTGAAATTGTAAATGATAACACCTGCTGGGGCTCTTATTTCTTCATTCCCCGTATCTCCGGCTGCTCCCTGTGTGAGATATTACACCCACACAGAGGTATGAAATATACAGCAGCTGCTTATGAAACTTCTATATGAAAGATGCAATGAGTATAAATAATGGTATTGTTCCGACGTTCTTCATCTTGTATCTGACAGAACATGTTCAAGGAACTCCAGGAACACTCTAAAGCTGATGGAGAAGTCATTCACACCGTGTCAGTGCAGCTGAAAACAAATGAGCAGGACTGCTCTGGACATCCTATTTTCCTTTCACCGCCAGAATGTATTTATTCTTCCAGTCATGCCATATTCATATTTACTTTAATGATTCATAAACATCCCAAGTTCCAGAAGCTTCTAATTAACTCATCTATTTAGTATCGTTAACAGATGCTCAGGGAGTGATTTATTGTACAATTCCGGATCACATCAACGTACAAACCCAGCCAATTGAACTGGCAGGCACTCTGGGTGAGTATCTTCTGCTGCTGGTGGATGAGACTGTCCTGAACTCAGCGTTAATGCCCTGCAGACTGGCTGAAGCATTATTGTTTTCTCCTGCTATTACTCCATACATGTAGCATACATTGTACTGTACAATATTCATTATCTACCTCTTTTTAAAAAAAAGGATTAGTGAGATACCACGTAGGATTTGGGGTATATATTTATCCCGTCTGAGAAAATAGGAAATCAATAGTCGCAAAGAAGTTTTCACGCAAGCTGCTTTTAATTTACCGCTGGCTTTCTGTAGTTTCAAAACCAGAACAAGTCCCTCCAACACACTGCAGCAAAACGATCCTAAACTTTATTAGAAAAGTCACATTGGGGACCCTGTCTATACTAGAGACACGGCCGATCTCCAGACCGTTTATCAATAAATAAGGGAGTGGGACTGGCCCCCGCGGCTTTGGGCAGAACGTGGAGCTGAACACCTGCATCGGCAAAGTTTGAGCTCTACGGGTGCTTCCGCAGCAGCGTTTTACACAGTGCCGAGGGACGCTACCAGCAACTCGCCTTGCTGAATTATTAGAGGGAGCCCGGCAATCGTTCCTAGCCTGGGCCACCTAAACCTCCACCAAATCCCGGCAGGCAGAGGCCGCGCAGCCGGGGAGCACCGGCACGGGGCCGCTGGCAGGCCGGCACCCCCGCCGGCGGCATGGACTCAGTGGGCTGGGCTCAGTGCTACAGGCTGCGCTTGGGTTTACTCATTTCACGGTATAAATACAGCCTGCCAGCTTCGGCCTGGCGGAATTGTTTTACTTGGAAACTAGGGTACAGGGGGTTGTTTTATTTTTTTCAAGTTTCAAAACGGTAACGCCGCGTGGTTTGATTGCCTCTGCTCGTTGCCTGGGCAGGAGCTCTCTTCCAAAACTGAAAGGCAAGTTATTTACCTTGCTGGAGGAGAGCTGCAGACAAATTATACAGCTTTTCTCTGAAGAGCTCACTCCCTTTTCGTTCCATGTCTTCCCAATGGCGACATCATGACTCAGTCAGTGCTAGCAAAATACTAAGGAAACACAGATAAATATTGTTTTAAATTCCTTAAGGTGGGACTCATTAGAGGACCATTAAAATACTCTTTCTTGCAGTAGTTATGTTTTTGTCTGTCTCTAGCCTTCAAAAAAGGTATATTTAAGCTTTGTGTTTCAACCGCACTGAAAGGGACTACTGTAAATAATTAGGGTGTGTATTCTGCTCAGTTTTTTTAAATTGATGTAGTAAAATTACTGGATTTTTAATATGTTTTTGACTCAGAATGAGATTTTGAAGACGAACTGCTGTCTACTCCATGCTTCACACACAGCAGCAGTTTCTGTGTGTGGGTTTGGGGAGAGGGAAGAAGTACAAGAGAGATTTAAGGGGGAATGGGAAGCAAAACTACATTAACGTGGCACTGTGCCCAAGTAAGTGAAGAAAAAGGGAACGGGACAGCTTGAGAAAGGTGATACACATTAAACAATTATGCTGCATTAAGGAATTTCTAGGAGTTATTAAATTTCTCCTCAGGACTCGCTATTAGAAATCAATGTAGCAACATTACCACAATGAGCTTGACTATTTAAAAGTTTTAATTATGCTTTTGCCTTGAGTGTAACACCCTTCCTTGCTGCTTCCATCTCTTGCAGTCAGTTCCCACAGCGCACGCGGTCTCTCGCATGGAACAATAAAGGCACGGTCCACCCCCAACAGCTCTGTTGGGAGTTCAACCCGTGGCTGCAGACAGCAGCGGCGTACTGTGCTGCATGCAGAGAGCACTCCAGCGTACCTCTCTGGCGCTGGCTGGAGGAAACCTCTGCAGATGCTAGGGAACAACCCTGCAGTTTCCGCTAAGCCTGGCCAACTCCCACCACTCAAGGTAGTTTCTCAAACTCCGTAAAACAAATGTCCTTATAATTTGAAAAGCCAACAGAAAGCATCATACATTATAGCTGTGTACGTACTCCAGACATGTACACCAAGTACTTACTCCAAGAACCTGTGCAGATAAGGCACATGAGAGAACCACTTTGCAAATGCAGGATACATGGGTTAAAGGGTTGTTTAAAAAACATGGCTTAAACTCATGTAGGTGAAGAAACAGAAAGCTTTGCTTTTAAGAATTACATCTCGGTTTAGTGGAAATGCACAGAGAAAAGTTAAAAATCTGGTAAAAGATGACTGAGAACACTGTTACAGCACACCTATGCTGTACCATGTACTACACTGCATACCCCTGCACAATCTCATCTCAGTCACTCACTTCTGCCTCCTAATGCCACCAAACCTGCAAGGTACAGGAAAGAGCTACTAAAGAAAATCAGGTACTTGAAACAATTTTGGCAGGTCCCTCCTCCAACCTGGTTTTATTCTGTTCATAACCTTACAGAACAGCGAAACAACTGCAACAGGGTCTGGGTCCTCTCACCATCACCTGGCTATATTTCAGGACTCCTCCACAGCTGTGCTACACTGTGATGGCATGAGGTGTTATGCCACATATATGCCATATATATGCCACAGTGCTATCATCCAGCATTGTCAAGTTGCAATCTTCCTCTTTAAAAGGGAAGAATAAAATAGACAAACTAGAGGTGCCATTATAACGTCAGGAATATCAACACAATCACATGCCCTTCAAGATCTTCTTAATAAATCAAGATCTTGAACAACAGACGTATCAGTTCACATGGAGTTTACAGAGTAATTTAGCCTGGAGAGGGAATCCGCTCACTTTGCAAAAGAGTTAACTTTTGTATTCAAACTATACAGATAAATAAGATACTATGCTCTTTTAGTCCAATTCCACATTCTGTAACAGAACAACTGTCAAAACTAGTTTTAGTAAGGATAGCAACCTAGATGTAGAAAGAAGTCCAGTATCCCACCAAAACCCGTATGAAAGCCAAGCAGCATTTATAAAAAATTGCTACTGATCATATGAACTCTCTGGTAGGAATCAAGATGCCAGAGAGAATACTGAAACATAAGGGTTCCTAAATGTTTTGTCACAAACCTGATTACTCAACAACAGAATAAATTACTAGGACAATAACCTGCAAATGTTGAGATGCAGTAATAAGCAGTACCACTTCATAAAAATAAGTTTTAATATCAACAACTTGTTTTCACATGATTGCATATTAATCTTTCTTTTTGCAAAGGTCAAACAATGTTCAAGTCCTGCATTCTTTTCACGGATGGGTTTATTCTTCTTCATTCTTCTGCACTGACTGCACAGCTTCTGCTTTAACCCTGTTTCGCTTTCTTTTTCTTCTTTTCTTCTTTTCAGCAGAAGGCTCCTGACCCTCCTGTGTTTTCTTCTTTTTTTTCTTCAGACAGCTGAGAGGATTGGGGCCGCCTGCCCTTTTACGTTTTCTTCTCTTTTCTCCTGCCTGCTTTGCTAGTCCTTCTTTTTGTTTAAGTTGCACAATACTTTGTTTTTGGTGCTCTGGAACAAGCTGATTCGTCTGCAACGTTTGAACAAATGCCAAAGATTTAGGGGAAGGTTTGTCTAGCACCATAGTGTTCTGAATAATAAAGAGGAGAGGAACGCCAGCCTTCTTTTTCACTTTCTTTGCTAAATCCTGGTCCTGTAAAATTAAGTACTTCAGTCAATATTTTGTGATTAAACGATATTTGCATTCAAATGCACCTACCTTTAATACAAAGCGATTAAGATGAATTACATTACGAAAAAGATGAGAAAATTAATCTAGCAGATATACGTGCCAGTGCCTTTCAGAGCAATTTAAATTTCAATTTCTCTCCTCATGTAAACATACATACATTTTTTGAAGAAAAAGTCCCCAGTTCATTGATAGGTAGTACACCACAAGAAGTAAGATAATTTCTTCTGTAACAAGTCATTTTAAACTCCTTGTATCTTATGTAAGTATACAGAATTTTACTGTAAATTTTACAATTTTAATTTTACAATTAAAATTTTACCCTTTTATACACAGTGTATATAATTTACACATACAGTCCCAATAACAAACTGAAGAAAAAAACCCTGCCTTTCTTATTTGTACACAAGTCCTAACTTCATTCTTTAGATAAAAACCTCCAAAAGTTCTTAAAACAGAAGTTATACGGTCATTTAACACTTAATTTCACTTTTCAGATGGCTGTGCAAAACAGTTCAGGGCAGGGGATGCACACATAAGCAATATGCAAATTATCATTCATCAGTTGTTTTCTTATACGTCAATAGGTAGTCAATAGGTTTTCTACACTTTCTGCTAAACTAAGCAATATTTTTCCAGGGTAAAAGTACCTCTTCGTTCAAGTAAGACAGAAGATTCCCTACTTCATAATTAGCAAAGACCGCCTAAGGCTTTACAATATTAATCCCCACAAGCCATTTAAAAATCTCATAATCAAGGTTATTGTAGGCTTCTTTATCCCTAGGTATCAAATGATCACTTTAAATGAAATGGAGTTATGCTTCCCATGAACATTTACCTGTGTAGCGATAAAGAAGTGATGAGGGTTGCCTTCTTCAATCATGGAAAGTAAACAGGCCGAACCACTCACAGGATCCTTGTGGTGAGAACAGTTTCGAACTTGAAATCTTTGGGCAATTAATTTTGCTCCATACAGTGCTTTCCCCAGTGATTCCAGTTCTTTCAGAACACATCTGAAACCCAAAAGCAACAGTGATTTCTAAGTGAGAAAATAACTACACACTTTTTACAACAGCAAAAGGTTGACATGAGTTAACTAGGAACGAGCAACGCACGTTTAGGCTCTGTGGTTTGTAAATGGCAGCCAGTAATCTGCAGGCAGTAGCCCATCTGAAGATGTCAGCAAGACTTCCTCGGTTCCAAACAAGATTAACCAGTGACAACACTAAGGTACATTAAATGAAAATATTTTGTTTCAGTGACGATGCTAAGTCCTTACATTTATGTTTGGATATCACCTAGGATATGAACTACTACTTAACAAATAAAATTGCCTGAATTAGCACAAACTGACTAATCGCTGCGTGCAAGTTAAATTCTACATTAGCATCCATCACAATGCTTCAAACTTGCTATCAGAATCCAACCAACTCAAGCAAAGAAGAAAAAAAGATGATCCATATGATTAAAAATCTAGACGTTTATGGCTCCACGATGTTCCAACTAGACAATAAAATCCAAATCTAAAATCCTCCTCTTAGTAGCACTCAGAGCAGACGTTCACACAGGACAGCGTAGCAGTCTATGATGATGCTAGCTTGGATACTCAGAAATGAACAGGAGATGAAACCTAACTTTGGCCACTGAGTCTTGCTATTAAATGTGGGCAGTGGTAGGACTGTGTGGCCTTGAAATACAGCTTCAAGGATATGGCAGCACGGTGATTAATCAGAAGAAGTAAGCATGCCAAAAATCTCCTTGGAACTTTTATTTAGTTTACACTTATCTCCAAAATAACTGCAAGATATTAAATAAAACTATTTTTCTTTCCAGAGAAGGAAGTTTAGCCTTTGAGGACAGTCTTTGTGGAGACTTGAGCCTGTTCATTTTGCAAAGACTCTCAGAGTAAGGCAGCTCATTTCCTCAGGGAAACGCTGGTCATGCCACTGAGGTGCTGCCTCACCAAATCAGCACTCTGACAGCAGAAAAAAACGAGTCCATTCAGCTGCTCTAAGTGAAAACAGGTCAAGACGACCAACCAATATTGCTGAAAGAATGAAGCAAGAAGTGACATTTAGACGACTGCAACACAGTTTGGACCAAAGCGATTCCCAAACCTTTCACAGCTAATGTCATGACTTGATACTTTCGACTGTTTAAAGTACGGGCCAGTTCTGTACGCTTTGCAAGATGGCTCACTGTATAATTTTTGTAGCCTAGGGTATACATCTTCCTGATATTTTCAGTACTTGCCTCCATGATGGGCAGTTGGCTACTGCGTCATAGCAGAAATCCAAATGAGGGAGATTTTATCATACGCAATGTACAAAATCAAGAACAAAGGCAACTTCAAGGCAACGCAGATACGTCGTGTGCACGCTTTACTTCCACGCCTTTGCCTCACGCATCCTTGCTCTCCCTTGAGAACGGCTTCCCTGGAAACGATCTGTGACCGGCAGGTGGAAACTCCGGACAAGCGGCAACTCCCTCCCTGCCCACGAGATCTGAGCTTGCCCCTGCTGTTCACACCACGCCGAGAGTGGGAAGAGGCCCACCCACGCGTCCCTCCCACACCGGGCCCACCCTTCGCCCCAGCTCATCCCCTAGGAGTTTCTGCCATCTTCGGAAAGGCAGCTGGAACCGGAAGAAGCTGATACCCCTCTGCAAGTTAACTGCAGCCCGCAGCGTTACCTCCTCACCACAGCGCCCACGCTCGGCCCCACCACACGCGAGCCCAGAGCCCCACAGCGCCCGC